GGCGTCGCAGCGGTCGTACCCCAGGAGCTTCCAGGCAGCAAATATCTGGCCAACTTTAGCGATCTGAGCTCCATCCTTCAAGCACGCCTGGACGGCTTCATCGTAGGTCAGCTTGGTCGGGTGAATTAGGTAGTAAAAACGACCTGGTAAGAGAAGGAAGGAAAAAGGGTCATTAGCGACATGATTAAGATGATGTGATATTATAAAGGCGGTTTGGAGGAGAGGAGAATGGGGATGAAAGAGGAGAAATGGGGATGTTCCACTGCAGAATCATATCAAACAGTGGTGGATTTGGGACTGTGCAATTTGTACACTGCGCAGTTAAAAATATCTTAGTTATTTGTATAGTAAGTTGATAAATATCGGGAGTAAAAAAAAAAAAAGCAAATAGAGAAAAAAGACTATTTGGACAAAAAAAAAAAATCACTGTATTTATTTCTGCTAACTTAGCACAGCATGGCATCCCCACCCTCACCTGCTTTCAGTGGTAACTGAACTGCTGCAATGCATAGTCATCCTCAGAGGTAGAAAAACAGCGGGAAAAAGTTCGGGGGAGAGGGGTGATGGAAGACACCCTGGGATTCGGAGGAAGGCACCTGTTCGGCATCTGACTTTATGGTGCCAGATGCATTTACCAACAAGGTGCCAATGACAATGCAGTCAAATGTCTGAGGAGCCCCATAGATTTCAGGCAAAGCAGATCTCACGCAGCTGTAGCTTACTGTCAGAGAAGGGAAATCAGTTAAACATCCAAAGCCGTGCACTTCTACATTGTGCTCCCAGCATTAGCTTAAAACCCTTACGAGTTTTCCCCTCAGAAGAATGGCATAGCAAGATCTGGCCTTTGATAGCATTTGGGTGAGGGTGGCTGGAGGTAACACATGCAGGTTTACTCTCTGACAAGGCAGTGACCTTGTTTCTGATTAAGTACAAGCACAATTTTTTCTTTTTCCCTGTAAGAAAGCTGAGATATTGCACAGCTTCTCAGAAGCAGAATTGGAGCCTGTGGTAGATCAAACCCATGCCTGTCGTAAGTCTTCATTAGCAGCGTCAAAACCATGCACAGCAGTTCTGCAGCTCTGTTTCTTTTTAGGCATCAAAGGGTATATCCTCACTGTAAGATGGCATTGAACTGATAGTGCTGCTAAGAAAAATACGCCTCCATCTCAAGGTAATGAAAACATATGCCAGCAAGCAAAGCTCAAAAAGGAAGTCTCTCCTACTAATCCATAACCGGCAATAATACTAACATTAATTTCATTTATCAAGGCATTACAAATTCATTGTACGCCTTTCATTCATTATACTTAGGGTTATCTATCACCACTGATTTGACAATTAACCAAGTGTGAGGTAGAAGTGGATTGCAGAGGAATAGTGTTTATTTGAAGGAATAATAATTTCCAAATAAATTCACAACTTTTCAATCTGACTGTCCTGTAAGAGGCAAGTTAGCTGAAAAACAAAGGAATTTATTCATGTGGGGATCTTCTAATTCCAGAGCACACTCTTTACTTCTTAATTAAGAATGTACTGCAGGATAATACCCTTTTTTTTCCTCATAAAAACCAGACAAACACACAAACATAATTCTGCTCAGTTTCAGAGTACTTTCTTGGTGAAGAAAAAGCAGTGAGCAAGATGAAGAATTATGTCAGCTCCAGATCCCTGGAAAAAACACACAGCTTTTTTCTAAGTGAAGAAATGTCAGGTCAGATGACAATATAAAGATAATTGAATTAACTTTGTATAAAGGTTGGAAATAGCATACCATGACAAGACCATTAAAAAGAAAAGGCATTTACATTGCAGCTGTGGTTGAGAAGAAACTTTTAAAAAATGTCATTGCTGTCACAGATAATATCTACAGTATTTCCAGAGAAAACTGTTAAAAGTAGATAATCTAGCCCTTTGTAAAATGCTTGCTTAACTCCATTTCAGCAAGTTGAGAGCATTTACAAGGTGTTGCTAAAGAGAATGTTTATTAAGTGGAAACCTGTTCCTACTATATTATTAAGAGGTTTCCCCAAAGCAAACAGGATTTCAGGCTTAGGGGAACAGGGATTTGGACTGATAGTATGTAAACTTCACCTAGCTTATTAGTTGCTCTTCAAACCATATGTCAATGGAATGTAATTTCCTAGGGATTTGCAGTAAGGTCAGGCTTTTGACATATGACATCAATAATAAAAACTCCTATACTCTGCCCCTTCCTTAAATAGGAGAACTTTAATAGTAAACCCCACAGGGATGCAATGTGTATCCAGAATATCTGATTAAATAAAATTCTGTTAATAAACTCAGTACAGATTTGCTGGTTTTCCCCCTGCTAATAGGTTAGAAGCATTCCTAACTGTTCAATCTTAGTATTTATTAATTGATGTGGAAGGAGAGGGACGCATTAACTCTCTGTCTCTCATTAATATCTGGTAGTTGGGTCACTCCTACAGAGGATGAGCATGCTTGATTTGACTTCTCACATCCAAATCATGGGGCAGAGGGTTTATGCAAGCCTAATCAAACCCCATCTATAATAGCTATTTTAAGCTTTTGCATGTAACAGAACAGCTTAAAGAGGAAAACTTGCGCACTTGACCTAAATACCCTACACCCTTGTGACTGTGGGAGTTTGAGGGATGCACCACCCTTGGAGATTTTTCCAAGCTCAGCTCTAAATTGAGAGATTTAAGAGCAAGTTTTTATACTGCAGCTGAGTGCACTAGACAGTGGGCCATCATCTTCAGAGGCACAGAGAGCCAGTACGACCTCACTCTCTATTTTCTACGTGAAGGTGTTAATGCAGTGCCTTCAAAAGAGGGTTCTTGGTGGAGTGCCCAGAGGATGCCTCCACGTGCAGCCAGCCATCGAGCATCTAAGCGCTTGGGCTCAGCCCTAAGGCTACTCCTGACAGGTTACTGGCTTGCTGGGGCAGCCTCTTGCTCAGCCTCGCGGCTTCGGTTCTGTGCAGGGGCAGCCGAGCAGCAAGCTCTGCCTGGTGGGTGGCAGCACACGTAGGAGGAACGCTGAGCGCAGGCCTACCTTTGCAGCCAGTGATCAACGTGTACGCAAAAAAGCTTATGGCCACAGAAATCAGTTAGGTTGTTTTACTGTGTGAAGAGCAAACTGCTCTAATTTGTGGTTTCATATGGCCATAAAAGGGATTCTCAGCAGCTAGCGGCGTGTATCTGTAGCTTGCACAACATGTAGACCCTGTCATCTGCTCAGCAGACTCGGTTCAGTATGTCTTATAGCAACACTAAACGGTTGAGAGAGGCCATTGTTCCTCAAAATTGAAGAACATGTTAAAAATTTGTGATGTGGGAACATTTTTTAAAACCTCTCTTCCAGCTCCCTCCCCAATATCAGCAGTGAATCTGGTGACTCAGAAGCAACCACTTCTAAGAAAGATTATGAAATTTTCTTTGGGGGAGGTTTTTTTCTCTTTTTGGAACAATGGCTACATGTTCCCAGTGATAACATATTCTGACATGGTCAAAGGAGCAGTCAGCATGCGTCATTCAGAGACGACTTTCTATACCTTTCTCCCATTTAAATGGCAGAGGTGGTTAGCTTATCACATGCATTACTGTAACAAACAGGTTGTTCACAGTTGCACTTTTAACAAGATCCCTAAAATTTACTTTTAACTTTGTTAACATGAGATTTTTACTTAATCCTGCTAGAGCTGATAACAAACCAATTGCGCACTGTGGTTCTGTGTGCAAAGTATATAACAAAATATTAATGAGTAGAAAGTGTGATACAAGCTCTACTTATACCTTTTTTTCTCTGAAAATTCTTAATTATAGAGGAGCTGATAGATATGTTCGTATTTAGCTCACTTAACACCTTTCAGGACAAAAGATTCCCATGTTTATTTCTTTGAAAAACTCACTGTTCTCCTTCAGAAACCCTTTGAAATTAAGCAAAGAATAACCACTCAGCTATACCATCACGTGTTCTCTGTCCCATGCCTTTTGGGTTCTGTGGGGAAGACTGCAACAAAAGAATTTAGCTGCGTTTATTCCCCTGAATTGGTGCGCAGAAGCCCTTCTAGAAGGAATGTATGGAAGAGGAGCATCCTCATTCCTTGGGGCAGGGATGGAAGAGAAATTGGGGTGGACTGCAGCCCTTGCAAACCTTTGGATCATGGCAAGTCTCAACACGTGGGGCAGGAACCTTTAGCTTTTCTAAAGAGAACATGGACTAAAGTGGCTCCTACTGTGAAAGAAAGGGGAGAAATTGGCTGTGAGGGAGCGGAGCTGAGTGCACAGACATCAGGAAATTCCAACATGGAATTTCTAAATTTAAGTTCCCACTTGTGCATATTCATTTTCAATAGTCTTTATCAACATGAGGAATGTAAAAGCAGGTTGGGAAACGTTGCCATCCAACAGTTATCTCTATGGAGGCAAAAAAATTATGTTATTTCATAATATTTTGTTGGATGTAATGGATAGTATTATGCTAATATTACTCTCTGCATTGTTTTATGAAACGCATCCATTAACAGGCTGCCCAGGGAAGTGGTAGAGTCACCATCCCTTAAAAGACGTGTAGATGTGGTGCTTAGGGACATGGTTTAGTGGGCATGGTGGTGTTGGTTAACGGTTGGACTCGATGATCTTAGAGGTCTTTTTCCAACCTTAATGATTCTATGATTGTATATTCTTATAAACTGGTAAATTGCTGGTACTACTATTTACAAAGTGTATGAAACATTTTCAGGTTTTTGGCTTTGCCTGCACAGACACAAAACATGAACAGTTCTTCTATGAACCAACAGAGTGATTTGAGTATGTGGCAGTTATACAGGCAGAACAAAACGTTCAACTATTGCACTTACACTAGTCTAAGAAAACACACTGCAGAGAGTAATTTCATAAAGTACTAAGATTGTTTTATATTGCATTGCAGACAAACTTTGCTAAAACAATTTCCATGTGCAGGTAACAGGAAAGCAGGTAGAAATCTTCACTAATGGTATAAACCCCCCTTTTTTCACCAGTATTTTTTGGTGTATTCAGCTCATCACAGATGGGAGCCAACTGTTCCAGAGTGAAAACACTGAACCTGGATTTGAACTCACTGCATCAATAACTATGTTTTCATTTTTCACCTTAATAGCCAAATATAATTTTGCTGGTTTGCACCTTTCTTCTTCAGGTAAAAAACAAGCTTTGCGTGTATTTTAGACAAAGACTTTTTAGCTTTAACTGCTGAATTATTTAAAATTGAGCCCTTTTTTTTTTTATGATCCCTGAGATTATAATATATTTGGAGTATTTCTTTCC